GGGCCCGGGCCGAAGTACCCCCCCCCCCCCCCCCCCCCTCTCCCGACCTATACTCCCGTCCTAGCTCTCCCCGTCAAAGCTCTCCTGGTTCTTCACCTTTAGCGCCTTCATAAAGCTTGCGCGCCAGTACTCCAGCCTGCTGACTTCCAGATAGACCTCCTTGAGCTGACTCGGCTGCTCCTTCAGTTGTCTGGCACATTAGGCGTCAAGGTTGATGGGTGCGGGGTAACGACGTTAACGTCCAATGCTTCTGGAGCCTGGGTGGTGTGATGTCGGGTCAAGGTTGTTGCCCTCGGCTGCAAAGAACAGTGTTTGGTATTATTCTGCGATTCGTTGCTAGAACGCGGCTGTTCTTAGATTCGCACAGTACATCGAAAGAAGCGCACTTCGCGGTAGATAGATGCAAACCTTGGTCACAGTGTCACCGCATCATAGTCTGTCGCCCCAAGCATTTCGAATCTCATGCAAGAACAACACCAACGCCACCACCAACATCGACAAACGCACGACCACCACCAACAACAACGAAAATCACACAAAAAGAACAGCACGACCGCCAACAACACAACATCAACAACAACACCACCACCAACAACAACAACAACAACAACAACAACAACAACAACACCACCAACAACAACAACAACATTAACACCAACATCGCCACCACCACCACCATCATCACCAACAACAACAAAATAGTGCGCAAATCTCTAGCACCCATCTCACTTGATCAGGCCCTCGGCTCTCTGCGGGATGGTGTAGAAGAATTCGGACAGCTGCGACGTGACGGCCAGGTTAGTCCTCGCGTGGTGCAGCTTCTTCAGGTGTGGGTACTTCCCGAAAAGACCCCGCCCGTCCTCTTCCCGGCAAAGCCTTCGAAACAAACACCGGACACCCAACAACAACAACAACAACAAAAAGAGGTACAATTGATTGCACACGCCTCGTCAGATAAAGACACAGGAGAAGGCAGGTATACACGCCTCGTCAAACGACACAGGAGAAGGTCAGCCTTCTAGAGGTATGCACGCCTTGTCATATGAAGACGCAGGGGAAGGTGGGTCCTCTAGAGGTATACACACCTCGTCAGATGAAAGACCCAGCAAGATAGGTCCTCTGGAGGTATAGGAGGCAATGAGTTCTTGGGGGGTTGCGACAGTCTTCAAACAGCGGGCGCACACGCACAGCAGCAAAAAAAGCACGAGACGCGCGATTGTTTGCACGCCTTGTCCGTTGAAACGCGAGACAGAAGGTCCTCCCTCTGAGATGTAGGAATGTACCGTACAGTAGGAACCAACGGATTCTTGAAAGGATGCCACAGTCTTCAGACAACGGACACACACACACCTTGAAACACAAAATACAAGAGGTGCGATTGCAGGCGGTACGAAAAAATGTACGTCCAGAGGTATAGGAGTCGTTAACGACGGAAGTTTTCGGCGACACGATAAGGAAGATCCTCCATAGATATAATACATGAGAATCGACGACTTTAACTCGGCGTGTACAGGCGCCCCCCACCGACGACGCTCCTCAGCTAGCAGAGACCAAAGAGAGAGAAAAAAACTCACTCCTCCATCTTGGCGAACTGGCCGTGCAGCTTGGATATCTGGCTGGCGTTATCGTCGATCAGATCCCTCGCTCGCTTCACGCCGTCCAGCCGGGAGCGCACGACGGAAGACAGTTGACTCTCCGTCGCCGTAAGCTTCTTGCGGAAATCCGCACACATCTCAGCAATATCCTGGCGATGTTGATATTTCAGGATGACGGAACGCGGTAAGTGGGTTCGTAACGCGGAGAACGCCGTAAGACCAAACATACGACGAGCTGAAACTTTCGCGTCAAAAGTAACATGAACATTCTTGGGTGATTTGAACAAAAGAAGACTACAGGTTGGTTGTGGATTCTACTCGGGGTATTCATAATTTTCAGTTCTGGAGACGTAATATTATGGCTCTTTGTTTTCGCAAACCTTCCGTGGTACGTACGTTAGTGCATGGTATGGGTTAGGGACCAACGGGCCCTCTTGGCATCGAACCGCTGTAGACTGTCACCCAGCCCGGCTACAATTTTTTCCACGCTGTAATCTGTACGTAAAAGAAAAGTTCCTGTGCGACCCCGAGGCTGACAAGCCAAACACAGGTACAACACCGAAGGTGTGTAAGATTGAAGTCACAGCATGTAGATGAGACGAACACAAAAACGCAATCACCGCGGCACCCCGGGGCAAAGGCTAGTTTTCGCGGCAGCCATAATTTTTTTCGAGGAGCTGGCGTATTAGTCGGCGTGCCACGGTTCGCTGGCGGGAAGGCATGTTCTACATACGGCGCCCCTACCCTCCCGGTCAGTCAAGCCAAGGGTGCGACAGCAGGAAAGAGGCTGCCACCAAAGTTGGGGATGTGCCTCATCGCCTTACACCACGTCCACGATCACCTGCATGTGTCTTCTCAGGACGAGGAATGGGAAATCCTCGAGAACCGCAACGAAACCGACGACAGCCGGCAACGACACGTGCACATGGAGCTGAGACGCAACCGAAATACCCGGCGGGATTATCCTCCGCACAGATAGACCGCCAGAAACACATGATCGGCGTTCTGCGATACATACGCAGTCTCTCACCCGCAACAAACATTTTTCAGGCATTTGAGGGTTGTGATTTGGCGAAGAAGAAACCGTCCTCGGGTTCTTCTTAAACCGCGCCTAGGAGAAGGCTCCACTACTCGTTGAGAAGGTGTTTGAACGTTTGAATCGCCGGTCATGGTATGCTTACATCCCGCGGATGGAACACAGCATTTCGGGAGGCCGGCGCGCAGACCAGCCGCGGTCAAACTACATACCATGTACGTTACTGCTGTGTTCAATCTGTTGGCGCGTTGCTCAGGCGTGAGTGCTTGGCAGCTTATTTTATGAGCAATGCACACTTGAACCCTCGTGTATGCTATGCGTTGCACACATATTGTCGATAGGATAAGCAGGAACAGCGGGGAAAAGTGTTGCTGTCGGGGTGTGCAGAAGAACACACAGATCGGGAACAGAACTTCTGCCGGCAGTGTTATACTGCTGTCGTACGTTTCTGTGCAATACAGCGCAAGTTCCGCGTCATCATCACCTCCAAATTAGCCGGCTCCTTGAACTTCCGCTCAATCAGCGTCGCCGCCGCGGCCTCTGCTTGCTGCTGGGCTTCCTCCAAGAGCCCGGTACTTGGGGAGGGCTGCGGCATCCTTAAATAGTCTCTCTCCGCAGGTGGTACTGGTAGAAAAGGCTAGCGGAGGTTTCAGCTTGTGTCCAACAAACAGGTGCGCAAATACGATGTTGCCCTCAGAGGCCGTCCCTTTGCAACGATATAGCAAGGCGGTCAAGGCGCCCAGTAATCTTGTTCAGGAACGTGCAACCGCCGCGGTCAGCTCTGTGGGAGCGGCGAGCGGCGGGCAAGCGGGGAGTTCTATGCTTTTTTCAGAGGCGTCGCCCGGGGTGGAGGAAGAGATCGCGCGAAGCGGTACAGGTTGCGGCGCGATTTCGACTCCGCATTCCGCATGCCGCTTGCGGAGGTTAGGCGTTAGGCGCAGGAGTTGGAGCTATCGCAGTACCAGTAGTTCCCATACCTGCCTGGTCCCAACAACACGGTCGTGTGGAGAAAAATTGATGTAGGCAACTGTTGAATGTGCACTAACGTGGCTGGTTGAAATTGAAAAACAAGACTACAGCAGTTGTTTGTGCCGGTGTTTACCTCGAAGCAAACCTGTTCTGTTTGCACATTGATTGGCTGCTGCGGGGACCTCTGCTCTGTCTAGATCGAGAGGTACGTGCATGTGTTGGAAGACTGTTCGAGTCACTAGTGTATGCTGTAGGCCTGGTTGAGTTGGGTTAAGTTGCTGTTGGTGTGGCAGTCGCGTGCAGAACTCGCTGTTGTGCATATCCCGTTCGCGTGAAACCCATGTGCAACACCGACAACGGTTTGGAGGCAAGCGTTGGCGAGTAAGTTCAATCACCAAAGTTGTTCAACATGTTCCACGCATCCTTTACTCTGAATCACGGACCGTACCGACCATGTCGGCACAATTGTGGTACTGTACTCAGGCTGCCCAGAAGTGTGTTCGCCAAGAACAAACCCTGCCGCACACCCGCCTGCAACGAACACTATCTTCTGCTGTACAAACTGTCCGCAGGAAGGGCTCTGCTGAGCAGTCATGGCTGCCGCGGCCACGACAACGTTTGCAGAGCAGAGGGCCTTCGCGGCAAAAGTGGCCAAGGAAAAGGCGGCGGTGGAATGGGCCATCCAACAGGTATTTAACTGCTGGAGTCGCCATGTTCGTTGTCCGTCTTTCAGCTGAGCGACTCTACGACAAATACTGCCCCCTCTTTCGTAAAGAGTTCATGTCCCACCTTAGCCAAGGAAGGTTGCATCCTGATCTTCACGTCTATGGCGGTAAGGCCCATCTTTATGGGGAGCAAATCTTCCTTTGGGCAAATCTTGCCTTTTTCGACCTTTTGGGCAGCCTGCTACGCGAACGAATGCAAATCAGCTGTTCCACCCTCGAGAAAAGTCACAGCTTTTTGGTTGAGATGTCCACAGATCACCTATTTGTTTCGCCAGGGTCCACGTTTGATTTTTTTCCAGCAGAGCAAGATTTGCAAATTCGTCCAAGATTGGGCCGAATAGCCAACTCCGAGCAAATCTTGGGTCAACATTTGCCAAGATTTGAAAAAATGCTGATTTTGGAAGGATCTTGCGTGAAAGTTGCACATTTATTTTGAAAAAATCAAACGGGGACCCGTGCGAAACAAATAGGCAATCTGTAGACATCTCAGCCAAAGCTATGACTTTTCTCGAAGGTGGAACAGCTGATTCGCATTCGTTCGGGAAGCAGACTGCCCAAAAGGCCGAAAAGACAAGATTTTCCCCAAACAAGATTTTGTTCCCATAAATCGGGGTCTAAAAGTTGGTGCTTCGGTTTATTGAGCGTTTCCAGAGGCAATGTTCTGCGTTACACAAGGGGATGGGCGGGTTCAGGAAGTGGTATTTAGCTGGGCTCAGCACACGTATATTTGATAATAAGCATCAGTAGTTCTGTCGGGTGCAAGCAGTGCTTGATTGGATTTTCACAGCTATACTCGGCCATTTCAGACTTGTGTCGAGAAGAGGCCGAAAAAAGTCCAACATTTCTCACATCGATCTCCTTCTTGCAAATGGTCTATACTCTCAGTGTTAGGAGTTTAGATTGCGCCGCCTTTTGTTTTTGCACTGGGTATCGATCTCGCGAGCGCTGTAGGCCACCGGTTAGAGTAGTGAAATCAGGGACTAGTAGCTGTGGTGCTCAGCTATCGTTTGGTGTGAAGAACGTGTGGATGCTGGCTAGGTGCGACTTATTTGGTCCAAAAGTGTAGTTTTTTTAGAAAGCATGATGCGAAAAGAGAGAATCAGGCATCCCTCTAAAGCGGGGATACCTCCTACGCAGCCCCCCCCGCACAACCACCGGCCAGAGCAGACCTTCCACAACGCGTCTCTGTAGCCCGCACAGTCCAACATCGCCATCGAAAAAGCACGACGCGTGCCTGTACTTACACCTCGGTGGTACTAGAGGTGGTTTGACGTCGCCTGTTGTCGATGCGGGTGTGTTAAAGCGCCCCGACGGCCGACCTACCCCAGAGGTTCTAACCGATCCAACCCCTGTGTACTTGACGGCGTAGCCGTATTGGGGAGGCCGGTTTGGAACGAGAACTGCTGGCTATACAAGAAGCCAACGTTGTGGGCTTCCTAGAGCACCCGCCAGAACTCCCGTTGGAGGTCTGTGGATGGAGAAATTCAGAGATTTGCCTATCGCGGGTTTCATCTTACACAGAGAGTGTGGGCCTGTTGCGGTGTCGCGTGGCGGCGGGATATTTGAACTTCTACGTGAAATCTCCCGTGCTTCACTTTCCATGTCAAATTTGGCGACACAGATCTCTATTGTTGTTGTCTTCACATTAAAAACCGTTCCGATCTCTCTCTACCCAGTACCTTCGTATGTCCGTACTGATCCAACACTCGACGCGGTCGATTCCCGTGGTCACAGGTTAACTTACCCTAAAAAGGTACACTCAAATAAACTGGCCCCGAGGGGTCCGCAAGTCAATAGAAATCAACGACAGATATTCTGGGATCCTCCGCTCCCTCTTCACGCTATGCGGGGTATCAACTGAGATTAGCAGTCACTATCTATCATGGGCCGGAGAGAAAGAGGCACACTCCCTTGGTTCAATCTTGGTACTTCACAACGCAAGCAGAGACAAGTCCATCTGGCACAGAAAAAGAGAGAAAAAAAGAGAGAAAAAAAAGGACAAAGAGAAAAAAAAAAGGAGAAAAAATAAAAATGGAAACCGTAAGGAGAAGAGAAAATAAATGAAAATAAAATGAAAAAATGAAAAAAAAGGGCGAGGACAAAGAGGGGCCAGGCCGAAAATAACAGGAAGTATGAGGCAGAACAAGGCACACGGTGGAGAGACCACTAACGAACAAGCAAACACGCAAACATGGCCACCAACCAGCGATACATTGTAGTGGTACGAAATCACTACTACTGGGGGGTTGGTGCAATGGTGCAGCGTTGGGGGGGGGGGAATTGGCGAAAAGAGATTCAATCCGGCACGTGTCGTGCCACTCGGTCCGTCTCTTCTCGTTTGCTTTCTTCCCTCGCCGTCTCGTCCGTCTCCTGCCCCCCTCCCGCCCCATTGGTTGTTGGCTTGTGGTTTCGTTTGAGCGCTCGTTGTCGGCTGGCCTCTTCTTCCTTCTCGTGCCAGGAGGTCATGAACCTCTCAGCTCCCTGCAGCACCGCCGCATGCCAGGGTACTCCCCCCTCCACCTTCGCGGCTTCCGTCCACCTTGACTTCGGTGCCGTGTCTTTCGGTACGGGAATTCCGAGACAACTTGGGTCGGTTTTCGTAGATCCGTCGTCGGCCCCGAAGGCCTTCAGGTCGTCGAGTACACACTTCGGCCAGTTCTGTTCCTGTCCCCCCCTACGTGGCTTCTCCCCCCCCGCCAGCTCGCCGAGCATCAGTCGTTTCGGGAGTCGCCCGTCCGGCTGCCTTGCCAGTGCTCCCGCGAACAGTAGGCGTCGTTGTCGGATCGTGGCTTCAACGCTCTGGCATTCGACCCTCTTCAGCGTCTGGGCGTACGAGAGCTGCCGGTAGGTGTCTTTCTTGCGCTTGTACCCGATAACTCGAAGGAGCAGTCGGTGGTGTGTCGACCGCAGCGTCTGATAGTGGCCGCTGAGTGGTGACCATGTCATGCAGCCGTACAGCAGTGCCTCCATCGCCTCCGCCTGGAGGAGGCGGATCTTGAGTCGGAATGGCGCTTTCGGTCTGTCGAAGAGCTCCTGGCCATATCGCCTGAGGCACGCCCACGCTCCTCTGCTCCTGTAGCTGATCTCCCGGGTGAGGTCGCCATGTTCGTTGACGAGGCCACCGAGGTACCGGAACTCGGTCGTCTGGGCGTATTTCTATCCCGCGGCTTCGATAGTCAGTGGTGGAGGAGGAGGCGGGGGGGACTGTGATGTTGCAGTCGGCTTGTCCTTCGCGCGCATCAGGAGCGTCTCCGTCTTCTTCTCCGACACCGTTAGCCCGAACTCTCCGAACACTTCAACGATGATGGTCATCATTCTCGCCAGTCCTTCTGCAGACCTCGATACGACGCCGGCATCATCGGCATACAGCATCCCCCATACTGCCCTCGGTATTCGGTCAAGGGGTGTCTCCTCCCCCCCCCCCGCTACCGTCTTCCCCTCCTCCAAGCACACCAGATTCCGCAGAACAACATCATCCTCGCTGAATCGGATACCGACGACCTCGAGGACCTCGGCGAAGAAGATGTTGAACAGCAGTGGGGATAGCACACATCCTTGTCGCACACCCTGTGTGACGAAGAACCAGTCCGATAGTTCTCCGTCGTCCATGCGCACCCGGGCCCGCATTCCATCGTGGAATTGGCGGATGACTTTGATTAACTTCGCGGGAATCCCGGCCCTGGCCAGCACCTTCCATAGCATCTCTCGGTCCACCGAATGATACGCCTTCTTCAAGTCGACGAAGCACATGTAGAGCGGTATTCTCTTTCTCCGCCCCAGCTCCTGGAGGCGACGCACGACAAACAGCATGTCGACGGTGGATCGCCCCGGTCGGAATCCGCACTGTTCCTCCGGGAGGATGTTGTTGGCTTCGCAGAAGGCGCTTAGACGGTTGGTGATGATCTTGATGGGAACCTTGCCTACGTGAGATAGTAGCGAAATCCCCCTGTAGTTGTTACAGTTGGACCGGTCACCCTTCTTGTACAGCACCTTTATGGTTGCGTCCTTCCACTCTTGGGGGATATCTCCTCCGTTCCACATCTTGACGAGGATGGTATGGAGGTGTCTCAGGACAACCGGTTCGTCGTCATCGATCTTGAGCAACTCGGCAGGGAGGTAGTCATGGCCGGGTGCCTTCCAGTTCTTGAGGCCTTTCGCTGCCCGTGCCACCTCCTCGAGGTCTGGCACCTCTCCCAACCGTTGACTGTCATGTGTCGCTGGCCGCTGCGTCACTCGTTCGATGATGTCTGGGTTCAGGGTGGGGGGTTTGGTGTTGAGTAGGGTGCTGAAGAATCTCGCCCACCGTTGGAGGATGTCGTCCCTGTTCCGGAGCAACACGCCGTTCTCATCCGCGACGAACTGCTGTCCCCCCGCTTGTCTCCCGCTGAGGCCCACTGATCTCTTGAGGTGTTGGTACAGTCCTCTCATGTCGCGATCTTTGTAGATTGCTTCGAGTTCAGTCACATATCCGTCCAGGTGGGCATAAATGCCCGTTTCGACTGCTGTAGCCACTCCCTTACACGCTGCTTTGAGAGTTCTCCACGTTGCTGAGTTCCAGTTGCCCCTCATCGCCCGACGCGCTTCCCGCCGTGTGGTAAGGGCCTCCTCCAGCGCTGCTCTCGTCTCTGGGGTCTCACACCACCCCTGCGTGCGACGTCTCCGCGGTTCCTCCCCTAGGGTCGTCCGTGCTGCTTCGAGGAGAGCATTGGTAAAGTCGGTCACCAATTCCGCGGCGGTGGTTGTTCGTTCGTCCAGTCGTGTGTCGAGGTTGAGGAGGAACCGATCAGTCACCGCACCTCGTGCTGTTTCGAACTGCAATTCCCGTCGGTTGAATTGCTGCTGTTTCGGTTTAGTCCGGACTGCACGGTTGTGGGCAAGCCTGCCACCGAGGTTGACGGTGGCTACTACCATGTTGTGGTCTGAGTCTGCTTTGACTGGGCGAACCGGCTGGGGGGTGACAACCACGTTAGAAACTCGGCCGTGATGTGCCTGCCTTGTCAGGATGTAGTCAAGTCGCTTGCAATCGTTTCCCGACACACCGTTGTATGTGTGCCATATTCCGCCCTTGCGTGTCTCGAAGAACGTGTTCGTGAGAGCTAGCCTGTTTTCCGTTGCGAAATTCAACAGTAGCATGCCATTGTCGTTGAGCTCATCACGCCCGTACATTCCTATTACCCTTCCGTCCCCTCCGTCCAACCTATCTCCCGTCCGCGCGTTGGCATCCAATAGAACATACACACATTCTTTGGAAGGGATCCTCCGCACGAGACTGTCAAGTTTTCCCCAGAACGCGCGCTTGCTGTCGGCGGTTGAAGGTTCGGTTGGAGCATACGCGGCTACGAAGTTGACCGCTCCACGGTGGCCTGCCAACAGAAACCTCATGGCCATAAGGCGTTCGTCGATAAACTCCGTAGTGAACGTGGATGTCTTGCACAGTGACTCTTTGACGGCTATCCCCACACCATGGACTCCACCAGTCTCCGTGCCACAGCAGAACACCCGGAAACCCGCTGCTGCAAATTCCGTTCGACCTGCCCTCCGTGTCTCCTGCATTCCTACCACCGATACGTTTTGTCTCGCTCGTGTAGAATGCTGTAGGCTCGCCCGTATCCATTGGCCCCGTTTACACCCAAAGTCCGCACATTCCAGGTTGCTACCCTAAGAAGTTGACCCTGCTGTCTCTTTCGCGCGGCGCGCGCTGCTCTCTTAGCTAGCCTACGCGCCGCCCGACCCCTCCTTCTCCTCCATCTCCCCCTCTTTTTTTGTTTTTTTGCTATTTTTTTGCGAACACTCGGGCTAATGTAATAGTTATCCCGGTTCTTGCCTTGTTTCCCATAGAGTTGTCTTCTTGTCCCGGAGCGGTGTGGCCTTCCATCTCTGGACTCTCTCCTTTCCTCTCTCTGGGGCATACCCCCACGGCGTGCGGTCACTCCGCCACCCTCACCGTGCTCTCTGCTGCTGCATAACCCCGGTGTCCAAGCCGGGGCGTTAGGATCCAGCCTCATTTTGCAGCTACCAAAGCTGGCGGTTCACGAGCTACCCCGATCTCACGACAGCAGTAACTCCCAACCGCCAACCTCAGGATCCCCCTCTCAACAGTGCTAGGGACCGTATATCCGTCTTTGCTGGGTGGTCTTTCGAGGTCTAGATCCACTTGCGGAACCTCGGCCTACCCCAGGGACGGGGGGGGCAGGCCGGGGAGGAGTTTATTGGGGAGGGTCCAATCACGACCCCCCAAGTGGATGACATGCCTTGGTATCACCAATATGTAGCAGCCGTCATGTCTCTTCCTTCGGTGTCCCTGCTCTGTGGCGAGGTGCCTCGTCTCTTTCCGCGCAAGGGTGTCCTCCGTTGTAAACTCCAGTCATTTTATGGAAAACTGTCAGGCGTTGCTAAATTTTGGGTTTCGTGTACCCGGCCAACAAGCACATGCGGCGCAATCTAATCTCCTAACACTGCTCTACCCAGTATTTGTTGTTCTTGGCGGTGGTGGTGGTGGTGTGGTGTGCCGCACCAAACGAACGATCGATCTGACAATTCTCCTCACTACGTAGTGGTGAGATCCCGAAAATATTAAAACAAGAGTGTGAAATACGGTCAGATGGAGAAGTATGATGTCTTGACATCGCAACGAACACGTGCGGAGAGGTGTCTCGTTTAACTCAATCAACCTTCGCGAGTTTGTTCTTTGGCTCTTGTCACCGCTGAAATCTCGAAGGCCGATGAGGAGCAGCGAGAACAAGAACAGCGCCCGCGGCGACGGGCGAAACAACGAAGGACAACACGGGATGGATTGGACATATTCGCGGTGACATTCTTCGACGGCGATAAACCCAAGTGAGACGAAGAGTCGTGCACGAGTTTTACGAAACGCTTTAATTTGTCGTGGAAGCCTTCCTTCTACTCGGTACGTGAAGAATCTCTGTCAATGAATCTACAACGGGCGTGGAACTGGTCCTCACTTCTCATCATCTGCGATCTGTCCGGTGGAAGGCTCCCTTCATGCCTCTTTTCGATAGATCCTCATCTGTGTTGGATAAGACAAGGCGGTCTCGTTCGATGAAGTTTGTGGCCGAACGTTGACACAAAGGATAGTGCCAACATTACATAGTAGCGTTTGCCGCGATGCTGACGGCTTGTGCATGCTAATACATCTACTGCCAATTGGCTCCAACAGGAGAACCGACTGGCATGCGAGGGATGCCAAGAGCGAAGCGGAATTCCAGGTGAGGCCCGTAACATTGAGAAGCAAAACTGGGCACCGCGCACGGCAGCCCTGTGTGCGCGTGTATATGGGTGCGTTGCTTTAAAAAGCTTCGGGCGTGCCCTCCAGCTGCTGGCACGAACAACAAAGAAGACGCTTAGTCAGCGCTTGCCGTGTGCGCATGTTTGTCGGATGGCTGAGCTTCTCCACGCCATCACGTGGACGCTCGGCCTGGTCTGTGACCCCGAATCGGCGTTTGATGCGTCACACATGAGAACACGTTGGATTCCAGCCGGCGGGCGATCACAGGGAGCTAAACTTAAACAAGCCTTTGACGACCGTGAGCAAAAGCTTAACCTACTCTCACCCATATATTCGCTGGATTTCTCAAAGCATTCCGAATGTAGTGTTTGTCGCAAGATAGCTGCTTTCTGTTGCCAACACTGACTGATTTTCATCCGATTTCGTTGCTGCGAATCTGGCGTTGATTGCATTTGCTAACCCGGAAACCCTGGAAATATATGGTGATTTACGCTCTCCGGCGGGCTCCTGGTACAACAATGTATGTAGCAGTCGAACAGCTTCACACGTCGCCGGACTCGTGTACGACCTCTCATTGAACTCCCCCCCAAACGATTCTCATGTCCGCGAATAGCCGAAGAGTGGGAGAGCGCTGTCGAAGTCGCGGTCGGAGCCTTGTCTCAGCACCCACAAGCGTGCGCGGAGACGCCGAGAGGAGCCTCGCCCGACGAAGCTCCGACCGTTCCGGACTTTGTTCCCGGTTCCGGCGAAGGGAATAGACATGAGGAAAGAGGCCGCCCGAGATCAGGCAAGCGCCCTTCCACGAAGCCGAAAGACCCTTGGCTGTTTGCTTCCTTAGCAGACGCGCGCGAGAGAGAGCGCCCCAGGAAATCTTGGGGGGGGGGTCTCGATGCCTGGTGGATGCGTTTTTTCCTGCGTTACTGTGAAGAGACAGACGGAGCGTTCGGACAAGCGAAAACTGTAGACGAGAGCCACCCTGAAACCAGCTCACGGTTTGTTGGCCTTTGCGCGCGCTTGTGGCATCCTATCAACTCTCCCACGCCCCTGTCGTGCGAATCATCCCGCAACCCCACGTAGAGCGACCTGTTCCACCCAAGGCCGGAAACGGTGGTGCTGTCGGCTACCGAGAAGAGAGAGATGCGGAAGTGGGGCCTCGAGGTGGATGCCGTGGCTTGGCCGGACGGATTCGTTCCACCCCCCTGGGTCAAGGTACGGTAGTGGCTACGGCTCAAGAGGGGGTCGGGACAACACGCTCTTCGACCCGCTTTTCTGCTGGAACCGTACCGTGTGATATTTCGCTACTGGGGAATAATGCAAGACTGAATCCACGAGGTATTGGAGTTAGGCAGACCCTTGCACACGGCGGTAAGCTTCTTCGAAGGGGGGTGTCAATCAGCTCGTAAAGACTCCAGAGTGTACAACCACCGCTGCAATTTATCGCGTCGGAGGGTTGGTGGCGTACCTACCACTGAATCACGCTCGAGCGGGGGCGCATCGAAGCTGCGGGAGAGGCAAGAAGGCAATTCCGCATTGCCGCTACACCCGAACTCTTTCGATGATTTGCTACACGGCACCTGGCCATTTTAGCACATTCCAACTTCCTGGTAAGTGGTACAAGGTACCTCACGACCTGAACACAATCACAACATCTATGAGAGGTGCAAGGTACGTCTGCGACCTTTAACACAATCAAAAGCTCTGCTCATCATCCGTCGAAGGGACCTTGCGAACTGCCCCGCGCTTGCTCCGTGATCTTTCTCCTTGCCTCCAGGCCGTCGGGAACACCACGAACAAGTGGGCTAACAGGGAAATGGCGATAACTGCCGCGAGAGAGGAGCAAGAGTTTGTCGAAAAATTGCGAGCGCTGTCACCGTCGGGGTAAGAACGCACCGCCCTCGGGACCGTAACCCATGCGAACAACAACCATGACCGAGACCATGACGTAGGATAGTATCTTGCTGAGCTGCGGAGTGTAGTGGGAATTTCACTCTTTTCCCGCCCCAGTATTGGTAACAAATTTACTGGCGGGTCGGGCATGAGGCGACAGCGAAGGAGAGATACCGAATTCTGACTGTGGCGATTGCGCGAAAGAACCGACCAGACAACACATCGCTATCTCGCTGCTCTCCATTTCCACCCGCTCCTCTCGACGCTTCTCTGTCTGTCTGTCTGTCTGTCTCTGCCTCTCTCTCTCTGTCTGTCTGTCTGTTTGTCTGTTTGTCGCTGTCTCTGTCTCTCTCTGTCCCTCTCTGTCTCTCTCTGTCTCTCTCTGTCTCTCTCTGTCTCTCTCTGTCTCTCTCTCTCTCTGTCTCTCTCTCTCTGTCTCTCTCTCTCTCTCTCTCTCTCTCTCTCTCTCTCTCTCTCTCTCTCTCTCTCTCTCTCTCTCTCTCTCTCTCTCTCTCTCTCTCTCTCTCTCCCCCGCTCTCCCTCCACGTGTCCTGAATGCCCCCCCCCCAACAGGAAAACAAAACCGCCCATCGCACACCACTCCTCCTCATCATCATCCCTCCCATCCCCATCGGCGCCGCCTTGGGTTAAAGAGCTCCCCCCCGTGCGCGACGGCCGGAGGCAGTTCGCGTCTGGCGAGATCATCCCCTTCCTGGAGCAGCACGTGTATCCGGAGGGGGGAGTGGCGGAGGCCAAGCGGGCACGCCGGCGAGAGAAGGAGACGTTTTTGAAGACCGTTTTCAACTCACGGCAGGCGGCCGGCGTAGGTACGGGGAGCTGGAAGAAGAGCGGTGGGAGAGGAGACGGCTGTTCAGTTGGGCGCCCTTCCGTTGGAGGTGGGGTCGGGGACGCTGCTTCAGCTGCCGCTACTGGGGTTGTTTGGCCGTTACTGGGTCTAGATGGCGAAGTTGCCCCCGGCGCCGTCGCCGCACAGGAAAGGATCGACCCTCCAGCGATGGGGAGGGTACAGGAAGAGGTTGTGCCAGGCGGCAATGTGGGGTTGCTGGCAGATAACCCCACTCGTATTCAACAGCAGCAGCAGCAGCAACGGCAACAAGAGCAAGCCGTGGCGGAAACGGGGGCGGGAAGGAACACGGGCGAGAGCGGGGACCACGAAGAACACAAAATTTCTAAAGGAGACGGCGGCAGAACAACGGCAGTTGACGCCACAGGTGAAGAAGCGCCTCACAGTTCAACGGACAGCCAACAGCAGCAACAGCAGCAGCGGCAGCTGCGAAGAGCATCAAGAGAAGGGGGAGGGGTTGAGGAGGCGGCGCGGAGCGTCGGGAAAGTCCCGAGAAAATCGTCAAGAAAGTCATTGTCGTCGCCGTCCCCGGCTCCGGCGGTGGCCGCGGCATCAAAGAAGAGGGAGGCGAGGGCGGCGACAATGTCTCCGACCGTGACTTCATCCGTCAGCGTGCTCGATATCGGCGCTCTCCAGTCTTCCGAGTAGATCTGCTTTTCGTGTGGTCCCTTGTTCAGGAAATTAGGCCAAACCGGGGTTCGCTTTAGAGACGAGTGCCTGGAGAGTACAATAGTAAAAGCGTGACTCTTGTCACAGACGAAGTCATAATTGGGTGTTTTATGGGTATTTTTGGTTCCAGCTCCAAACGCGCGCCTTGTGACTTAGAACACTAACGGAGTAGCCCCCGTACCGTAGGACCCTCAACCCTGGGAAATAGATATGTGTGCACCGTGTGAAATGCTAGCTCCTTCTGTGGACCAAGAGATAGATGAAACTTGCGTGTTTGCCGTGGAGAGGACGGGTCTCCCATGGTACCAAGGCTTTCGGGCTGGGCACTCGCGCTTCAAAGCCTTTGGATTCGACAGCTCAACTCGACAGGTAGCCCTCTATTCTAGTAGGGATTTCGGCCATAATAGTCGTCTATGCATGCAGCGCTTGGCCTTCACGCGGTGGCGATAGTCCCTTTATTGTCCGGTGGCAGCGGTTGGTTACTTCATCATGGTTGACGTTTGGAGCGGGGGGCGATCGAGGGCTGGCGAAACTCTCCTGAGAGACGAACAACGCGCACGTCTTGACCTAACGTGCTTGGTGGATTGTTAGACATGTTTGTGCGTGTGCGTCGATGGCGCTGTCTAAACCCGTATGGTTTCCCGGGTAGTCCCTGAAAAATCTGCGGCCCTCCCCCCCCTTCCGAGGTTTGGACATCCGTATTTTAGCCGAAGTCGAGGTGGTCGGTTTTCATCGTTCGTTCAGCATGAATTCATTAGTCAGCGAACGAGGACTGGGTAATGATGTACGTAACGCCAGTATTTGCTCACTCTACTATACCGGTGCGGTCCGTTCCACCCGTTCGTTAGAACTGTAAGAATGGTGAGACCCTTAGTACAGTGTTTGGAGATTGACTACCGTGTCTAAGGAGAGTGAAGGGGACACGGGAAAGAGAAACAACGACAGCCAGAATTACAATAACACCCGATGGCTCTCTGGGCCTGTTGTGAAGGCATGTTCCACGTGGGCGTGTGGTGACACGTTTGGAAGCAGCCATCGAGGCACTCTGCGTCAGTGGCACGCCAATCTCTCCTGAAGCGACCTCCTCCGGAAATATACATAATTTTAGAATATACATTGAAGAATGGTATGATCCTATATTTCACCGGTTACAACAGTTCGGGTGCCGTCATTTGCTCTTCTTCTTTGTCTTCCGGAGGGTAAGGCCGTTTGACGACGTGTATCTCTAAGCAACGCTCTTCTTGTCGCATTTCGTTGTTACTGTGAAAATGGCCCCGAATGTAGCTCGAAGCAACGCTTTTCGTCGCGTCCCGTTGTTACCGTAAAGAAAGGTCCCAAACCGCAGTAAAAAAACGAATTTGACGCGCTTGGCGCGGGCCGAGGAAAAAAGCATTTAGTCACACGGAGGGACAAGTAATCTTCGGTGTGTTGCATCATGTTGGATCGGTATCGCGAGGATCACAGTCGACACACGGAACTCGGTACCGATTGCGGTCTTTGCACACACAGCCCTTACTCTCTTCTCTCGTGGACGTTATCAATCATATTGCTGTTAGTTGTCGCCTCTGGAACCAGCCATTGTTTCCGATCATGAGTGAGCATCTTTCTGCCACCTTCCCTTTCTTGTCATTCTTTGCGAGGAGGACAACGCGCTGATGGCGAGGGTGTAACCATCGGTACTGGCCAGTGGCACCATGCCAACCCTTACTACACGCTTCAAACAGGCGAGTTGACACATTATTCAGCGGTGCTTACGGCCCCCATTTCTTCGACAAGCCGCGCCTGCCTGCTATTATCATAGTACCCCCCAAGGCGGCAAGCACTTTTACAATTGGAATTGCTCAGCAACAACAGCGGGGGTGGCTCCACCCGAACTAGTCCATGCAGTTCTCCTTCGCGCCTGTGCTTAGA